GTTTCATATTTTAAAGAGCTAAGTTAATTGTTTCAGAAACAAAACAGTAATCCAGGAGTAAAACAAGTTAAAAAAGGGAAAACAGGAATAATAATATCAATCAGATTCCCTGATTGGAGATATGTGTCAGGACTGTAAATATGATTAGAGTTCTGTGTCTCAGAGATATGAAAGAATTACTGTATAAAGTTCTGTGTTCTGTGTCTGTCTTTGGAAAGCTTGTCACCCTTTTCCAGCCTCTCTCTGCCATCTTGTGGCACGATTGCTGAAACTGCGCCTGAAGAAAAAGAATCACTTCTGAAAAGCATCAGCCAACAAGGATTTGAAAAGATGAGATCACTTTATTAGCCATATACAGTTTCTTGCATTAGGAATTTGTCTTTTCGCAGACCCCAGCTTGCTCTCCATGAGACACAGACACACAGATAGGGAGAGAGAAGCCTGGGGTCTGCACAGGGTGAGCCATTATACAGCACCACTTTATATTTTAAAAATGAACTACAACTAATATGGAACTTTTACGGAACATACCATTAAATAGAACAAACATTTTCATGCTCTGTATTTGATGTCTTAAAAAGAGGCACATGGAATTGATTTCATTTTGATTTCATGGAATTTTCTCATTTAGCATACAGAGCTCTTTTCAATCTACTGTCTGCTCAACAGGTGACCTACAGCAGTAGAAGTTCTATGTATCAATCTGACAAAATGCTGAAACTCTTGAGGACCCCTCTCTGTCTCCCTCGGACTGCCTGCACCCCTTCAGCACAAGTTTTCCCGGGGCTTGTCTGACGTCATCGTGGTCATGGAAGGGCCACTGAGAGATGCCTTATGGGAGTCCTCCGAGAGGAAGTTCACCATCACGCTCTTGAGGGACCTCCGCAGGCTGTCCTTGAAGCTGCGGCCCACGCACACGTACAGCAGGGGGTTGAGGCAGCTGTTGAGGTAAGCCAAGCACAGGCAGAAGATGTCCGCTTGGCGAATATAGAACATCTGTGGGGAGTTGCTGGGTGTGAGGGCCAGGAAAAACCCCACGATGTGATAGGGAAACCAGCAGACGAAGAAGCCCAGGACCACCGCGCAGATCACCCGCAGGGTCTTGTGGGACTTGCTCCTGCCTTGGTTGGCCTTTGTGTAAACCACATAGTGGCACATCACGATCACCACGAAGGGACCCAGGAACCCCACCAGGAACCGCAACACGGCGAAGCCCACCCCCTCCGAGTCCGAGTACGAGGAGTGGCAGAGGATTTTGTTGGCCAGGGGGTCATGCAATTCCACCCTGTATATGAACAGCGGAGTGCAGAACAGCAACGCCAGAACCCAGACCAGCAGGCAGACCCACTGGGCCTTTGCGGCCGTTCGCCAGTTCTGGCACCACACCGGCCTGCTCACGAGCAACAGGCGGTCTAGGCTGATGACGGTCAGCAGGAAGATGCTACAGAACATGTTGAGGAAGATCAGGGCGTTGATCACCTTGCAGGCCACATTGCCGAAGGGCCAGTGGTAGTCCATGGCCAGGGTGGAGATGAGGAAAGGCAGGGAGAGGCAGCACAGCAGGTCAGCCACGGCCAGGTTGAGGAACCACGTTGTGTTGACAGAGCGCTTCATGCGAAATCCAGAGATCCAGATGACCAGGGTGTTGCCAGGAACGCCCAACAGGAGGACCAGGCTATAGATCACCATAAATATGAGCTGTTCTTTACCAAAGGGTGAACTTGAATCTGATGACCAGTCTGAGTAATTATCCCAATCATCATAATCGGATTGGTTGAAGGCAATAGAATAATTAGATCCATCTGCAGTATAAGAGAAGTTATTCATGTTGAATTAGATGATAGTCCTGAAAAAAAGGAAGCCCACAATAAGTGAAGAGTCAGCTGGAATAGCTCCAGCTTTGCAGCTAAGCTCGTCCTCTGCTTCAATGTGTAGCCTTTCTCCCTTGTGCTTCAAGGAAGTTCTTCTAAATTAGAATTTGAAAACTTGTGCTATAGTCAAAACTGGAGTAATGTACACTGGGCTATAACTTTTAAAACGTGATCCCTCACCCTGCTCAGACATTGTTGTCAAATTATATCTGAAATTAGACACGACCAATGGATGATGTAGCACAGCTGGTTCCACAGGAGGCAGAAAATCTAAGAAAAGTCTTCACCGTTTTCACTGATCCAGTGAACCAAGGGTGACCACTGACAGGAGAACATTGGCACCCTAGCCAGATCTATTTATTCTGTATACCATTTCTACTATTTGCATATGTATTAATAATTTACTATACTGTGTTTTTTTTTTGTTTTTCACCAGCTTCACTGGTTCTTTAGCTAAACCCCCTTGTTTGATTCGGAGAGGAGTTGCATAGTTTCCTGTGTTACACAGAATAGTGGCAAAAGCAGTATGTTCTAAAAAACAAACTTTCTGGCACGACCACGTTGAACAAAACCTTTTGTAACAACACCACCAGCAATGTGATTTTTCAATCTTCAGTAATAAGGATGAGTTTAAAACTTTGGTCTTCCTTTACCATAGAAGTGGGAGCCTTGACAGAAATCCTGTACTGGGACAGAATAAGAATAAGAATAAAAGAATAAGAATAAGAATAAGAATAAGAATAAGAATAAGAATAAGAATAATCAGGTTGATGGCTCCCAATGTACATTCCAAGAAATAATTTTTATCGCTGTTGCTCTTATGATTAGGAATATTAAGAAGACATACCTTAAGTAATCCGCTGTATATAGCGCAGAGCTGAACTGCAGTGCAGAGCTGAGCTGCAGTTGAGAAACGCCACAAAGTACATCCCTCTGAGGCGTTATCTTCTGTGGTTTTCTAACTTGTTTCCTGTTCTTACTGCTTCCTCCAGTGTACACGG